CGTGACAAAAGCAGCAGGCGGCCACACATTTGCAATTTCCCTAAATTACTTAATGTTACTACACTTTACATCAGCAGAAAACAGTGAAGACATTACAGGTAAATAAATGTGCAAGCTAGCCAAAACTCCCGACGACCATCCTCAGCAAGCAGTCATGCTTCTCTTCACGGCTGCTGTCTGAGGCTTGATGTGACGACGGCAAGCGCAGCATCTGCGCGTGACAGAGAGAGGATGATGCTGGTCACTATCAGTCAGTCTCTCACAGCATCAGTATTTCAGCATGTGTTTCTGCTCGGTCACACCGCTGGAAATAAATCGTTCCTGACAGGACTTCGCTCTCGCTGGTCAGTCTCATGCGTCCGCATCGAGCGTCAGTCACACTACAAAAACGTGCGGCGCCAAACTTTCAGCGAGAGACAAAATTAATGAATGATCTACTAAATGTGACATAACGTGTCGCTCTAATGAAATACTGTTAAATAACTGTTAAAGCAGCGACTGGAAAACCCCACGCCGATGTCACAGCCATAAAGACTCACTGGCTCACACATCAATATCTGCTCAAACTCACTGCCAGCAGCCAATAAAACACTTTCCATCCAGCCATGGATTTGCTGTACAGTACCCTCCTGTGCATAACTTCAATAGGAAAACTCTTCGATCTTCAACTTCACTAGTGTTCGCTTTACGTAACGTCTCAAAACAGACCGCTTGAATCAAAACGCATGCATCTCACAGGTTTGATAGAAAGCAAAAAAAAGGGAATCACATCAGCCACTTCATGAAGATTATCTGGACGGGATCAGATTAATTGACATCCATTAAAAAGGACAAACAGAAGAAAATAGCTTTGTAAAATCCCCCACAGCTTAACTCCGTCCCCAACAATACAAACAGCTGAACAGATGTATTTATAGCAGCCGTGTTGACTTACTGACAGCAGCTACACAACACACACAAACACAGAGAAAGCAGCAGACGGACATCACACATCTGCTTACCGAGCCTCCACGAACGACAACACATTCGTCTTCCTGCAGGTGAAAGAAAACCCTAATCACAAGAGCCCGTTTACACTTTTACACGCTTCTCTGACCTATCTGCTCACAAAAACAGTAGGTGTAAATGCATTCTGACACACCATTCAATCACTCAAAGCACTTCAGGAGGCGGTTTAAGACGCCTTCGGCTAAGTGTAAATGCCTGTATAAACCTTATACATAAACTCTGCTCCTCCCAAAATAGGTTCAACAAAAAACCAAAGAAGCTGTGAGAGCATGTTATAACGGCTCCAGTCAGACAGCACACTTCTGCAAACGAATGCCGCTCACTGTGCTGCAGTCACTCAGATTCAGATACAGTGACCGAGAGCAAATAAACCCACAGTGAAACACCAGCACAGCATTTACATTAGATTTACATACACTTCATTCACATCATATTTAGCATTAGAGGAAGTACTAGCGATGGCAGAGTTCACAGACAGCACAAAGCAAATCACAGTTCTGTCCCTCAGCTGTGCTTCACTCACTTTACTCCGTCTCATGATTACAATTACTGCCGCAAAGGAAAACAAGTGCCGTCAAAAACGCAGCACAAGACATGTTTTATTCATGCTCCGCTGCTGCTACACACTGCGCAGTTCATGCAGCCGATGGTCAGGCCGTCAGCGGTTATCTGCGGCATCTGTTCTTCAGAAAGCCACCGAGTGCTTCACTCTGGAGCTGTTTGGCTCAAATGAGCGGAAACAACTGTAAAACGCTTGTGCGTCATAACTCGTCTCAAAGAGGCTTTTCTAAAACTTGGCATCAAAGCATCTTACAAATGCACTTAACTAGATAAACTGCCAAGTCATAATAGCTAGTGTCGTCAGCGAGCTGAATGGTCGTGCCTCCGGCTGAAACTGCTCCCAGACTCACTAGAGCAGCGCCAGGCCTTCACAGCAAGCAGCTTCAGGACGCTCTCCAGACCTGCTGTTCCCCACAACTGAACCGCTTCTTACACTGTTAGAGCACACAGATCACGTCATGAACACAGCAGGTAGGTTCTGTGTCTCAACAGGCCTTTTCATCGCATGAGAGAAACAGAGCAAGACATGCTCACTCACGCACACACACACACACACACACACACACACACACACACGTTTTTTTTTGTGAAAAGCGGGGACTCTCCATAGGCGTAATGGTTTTTATACTGTACAGACCGTATATTCTATTGTCCTACACCAACCCTACCCCTAAACCTACCCCTCACAGGAGACTTTGTGCTATTTCAGATTTTCAATACACTCCATTCTGTGTGATTTATAAGCGGTTTGAAAAGTGGGGACATGGGGTAATGTCCTGAAAAGTCACCTTCTCCTTGTAATACCTGTCATACCTTTGTCATTATACACATTTATGTCCTCATTTGTCACAAAAA